TTTGTGACTTACAAGGTATTTTCATTACATCAAGAGGATAATATATGAGATTTACCTGGCTTCTTCTTTCACTGTCAGGAAATTAGGTACTTACTAAGCCTATTTAAACTGGACTCGTATTAACAAGGAAATAAAACTCAAAGATAAATAATAATGTATTCTTGACATAAAATAAACTGAAAATTACTTGGGAAATTGAAAAATGCTTTTAACTTCTAGAATTACAAATAATATGATATTTTAATGGCTATAAAGACATATCAGGTTTATCTTTAACCAAATGACATCCTAATGGGCCAAGAACATATCTGTTCAGAGAGAGATTACTTTAACAGATACATTTTTTCTAAGGCTAATCATGATGACAAAGCATTTTATCTTACATAATTTTTTCCACAATTTTTGCATTCACTTTCATATTCCAGTTCTACAGACCACCAGAAAACATTTTTTTCAATAATAATGATAATAGATTCAGATCTATGATAAAAGGATTAAATGGATCCTATCTAAAAATTCTAAGAAATTAATTGGATCATATACATTTTTTAACATGATAATTTATCAGTTGCATAAGCGAAGATGGGGAAATGAACATTCTTGCTCATTCCAAAGTATATGCCTTCCTAATAACCCATTACATATTTTTAGATATTGATTATTAACCATCTCTGCAATGAAACTAAAAATATTCATCCCAAAATACAGCTCATCGATCAGTTTACATGCAGTTAAGACAGGAACTATAAGAATACTGCAGCATCTATTCTGGGTCGTCAATTTCCGCTCATCACTGTACTATACATTTACCCTGGGCTCGATTAACCTTGGTCAAAATGACTTAGTGATTGGTTAGACAATAGGTAATTTATTGCTCCGTACTGGAGGTTCACGTTGTCAAGGAAACCCAAAAGATGAGCTGTAGTTTTACCTGGCACTTTAGTAATAACCAGTGGTCAATACCTGGACTGGTCAATATGAGACGGGAATCTGCTTAAAGGGTTTGAGGGCAGAAAACAAGCCCATTAGTCCTCGTCACTTTGCATAGCGTTGAATGAGGATCTGCTCAATAACAAATTACTATAAGGATCGCACAACAATTATAATGGTAGCGTGTGCGAAGCCTTGTTACTAATTATTCCACCTTATGCAAATCAATATCTTTTGATAAAGTGTGTAGAAATGAAATGTCAACATGTCATAAATCATTTGGGACATGTGGTAGAGTGAAGTTTTAACTTGACAACATAAAAGGATAAATTATTCGTCAGCTGTAAAAACAACAACATAATGTCACCCCAACTGTGTTTGTGAGAGTGAAAGAGCGAGTATGGTTTTACACCGCTTTTAGCAATATCTCAGCAATATCACGGCAGGGGACACCAGAAATGGGCTTCACACATTGTACCCATGTGGGGAATCGAACCCGGGTCTTCGGTGTGATGAGCCAACGCTTTAACCACTAGGTTACCCAACCGCCCCTGTGTTTGTGAGAAGGTATGGTGGTGCAACATGGTGTATGAAGCTTGATTCTAATCATGCAAATGTTTCCCTTCCATGCTTCGAATTCACAATCTATGACTAAACAAACTGCACTGAGCTATTCTTGCTTGAAACCAAATTTCAATTACCGGTACCTCCTCTTCTTCTATTTGTTCAATTGCTGGCAGCAATCCATCATTTAATGTCTAGCAAAGTTTTAGTTTGTAAAGAAAAAAGCAATGCTTTAGAAAAAATACATGAAACAAGCTAAGCTTTACTAATACTAGTAACAGCATCATTAAATATTTGTATAGGCTTGTGTAATAGTATATTATCATGATTATACAACAGATGTCACAACATTAATTGCCACATCCGCATGTATATGATGATATATTATGATTACAATAATGGTTAATTTGCTATGCTGGCAAAATATCCATTTTCTGAAATTTTAACCACTTATTGAAATATGACATGATAAAACAATCAACCAGAGTTATACATTCTGAAGACAGGAATATACTGTTTAAAATTTCAACCCCTTTATGTCAGAGATGTGTTAAAGATGAAAAATGAAAAATAGTGTATTCAAAATTTTAATACTGAAGTTTCTTAATAAATCCAAAAATCCTTTGTTTCAAATTCACAGTCGATACAATCAGAGGATACTACGAGATCAGTGTTTGAAATTTGAAATGGAAGGCTGCAAGAGGCCCTTGTCATGACTCAATTATATATTGGACAGTAGATTCAGGCAAGATTCAAATATCAATAGGGAATCTATAAGTAAAGGCCCCATGGCCCACTGTAATTTCTTATAGTGATGATTATCAGGTAAAAATACAATAGAACATTATGTATTTCTAATATTAAGAGATTCCACTAATGTGAGCTATTTTTACTGTTAAATGTTAATGTCTATCTTTTAGCTTCTCCATTTATCATTGTTTGAAAATGTTAACATGAATGTATTTACTTAAAAGCATGATGATAAATCTGTAGATTGATATTGAATTGATACGTCTGTATTGGGATATGTGATGACATATTTAGATTAGACATCCATGTCTGTATGAGTGAGTGTGAGTGAGTTTAGTTTTACGCCTTTTAGCAATATTCCAGCAATATCACTTCGGGGGACAGCAGAAATGGGTTTCACACACTGTACCCATGTGGGGAATCAAACCCGGGTCTTCGGCGTGACGAGCGAACGCTTTAACCACAAGGCTACCCCACTGCCCCCATGTCTATATGAAGGAAAGTGAAGACATACTACCCAATATATAGGGCTGTTAGATTTTACTCCTATATTCGGTGAATCGAACCTCAAACTATCATGAATTCAATTTGTGATTTATGATCACAAGAATCTAACATTCATGAATTTTGAACTTGAGTTGTGGGAGATATGCAAAATGGAATATATCCAAGCCAGCGAGCATAATAGTCAAAGCTCTTATACATCTAACTTTACTTTCATGTGGTCACTACTAATTGTTTTGATAAATTAACACTTTCAACATGGTCAAAATATGTCAGTTAACTCCTGTTACTGTTTCACTGAAAATGATGACTAAAACGTCTGGTGGTGACGTGTTATTCGATTCATTTCTCAATATTCATAAAATATATCATATTCACCATATATTGGATTCATTGCAGCCCTAGCAATAGAAGATCAACACAATCAGCATGTATCGCCTTCATATCACCGACATTTCACACCTGTGTATATTAATCTGACCCCAGGAACTAAATCTCCTTCAAATGACCTTGATCTCCGATGTTGATTTCAACATCTATAACCCCGAGATCAACAATTCCAGTATGAAACATAAGGCACCATATAGCTCCTGCAGATAGACAAACGCTGTGGTGTGTGCCTATCTATTTGCACAGGCAATGTGTCAATAATAATGATAGGCTAAGATCTGAGAATGGATGACTGAATTAATCAACCTGTTTCACTGTTTTGATGGTTTCCATGGAAACACATTTATGGATATTATCTCACCAAAATGAAATAATTCAGGTGAGTGCAAGTCCTTAGATGTCTAGGGGTCATTTGGGTGATTATGATTGACGATTTAGCACTAAATCTGACACAACTGAACCTGGCTACTGTTGGGGAGCTTATTCAAAAAGGAAAAACGGATTTCTATAAATTATAACAGCATAAAACAGTGTGAAAATAGCATTACAAAATGTTCTTACATACAGAATAATATATAAAACCAAATTCTAATTCTCTTGAAAATTCATATTTAAGTTTCAACATATTTTTTCACTTAAAAAAAGAAAATACATATATGTGACTGATATCAATATCGTTGAATGCTGATACGGTATGATATGAACAAAATTTGAGAAAAACACCTGATTTTGATAAATGATACAAACAAAATTTCATCATGTTTTCTTCATAATTTCAATGTTTAATCAATTGAAACAAACTGTTTAAACTGTTAGTTTTATTATAATTGAATTCTTTTCTTACAAAATATATAACGGATCGAATTAGTAAACTGTAAATTCTCAAATCAAACAATTCAGATCTTGCATTGAATAAGGCCTGTTTCAAATGTTTAAATTCACATACAGTGTTCCTACAGTATACAAGTTGCTGACCTGGCACATTGTCAGACTGTGAGTGAGTGAGTTGGGTTTTTGCCGCTTTTAGCAATATTCTAGCAATATCATAGCGGGGGACACCAGAAACGGGCTTCACACATTGTACCCATGTTGGGAATCGAACCCGGGTCTTCGGCATGATGAGCGAACGCTTTAACCGCTAGGCTATCCGACTGTCCCTAATATCAGACTGTGTCATAAGTAATATCAAATGTATCTTAAGTGCCTGTGAGAATTAAGATTTTTTTTGTGATTTTACAGAGAAAATCTTCACTGAGAAATCTTCCTGCTACATAACAGTGGCCTTGGCCAGACAATCCAGTGATTGACATCATGAACATCAATTGAAGCAATTATGATTTGATGACAAGCATCAATGACATCAGAGGGTGTAACCATCCAATTTAGTTAGTCGCCTCTTACAACAAGCATGGGCTGCTGGATTGTCAGAATTATGTATGTTCTGGCCCAGATTTCTCGAAACAAACTTAAGTTTTTACTCAAATTTCAAACTGAGTTTGACAATTTGAAACAGATGAATTTTTAACTCAACTGCATTTTTTAAAATAAAAAAAGCCCAAACAACTTAAGTAATCTGTCTTAAGTAAATTGTCTACTATGTTTGAGTTTAATATCGATTTTAGTTCATTCTGGGAAATGCATTTTCTCAAATTTGAGTAAAAACTCTAACTTAAGTCGAAACTCAGACTTAAGTTTGTTTCGAGAAATCGGGGCCTGATGACAGCCATAACACAAATTGTCAGACATTTTAATTTTTACACAGAACATTTAATATACACTTGCAAATCACTGCGTCTGAATTTAACTCAACCATATTTTATCAATCTCGAGACATTGTCCTCACTATAAAGGTGCATACTTACCCACTTTTCTCCATTGACATCTGAGTCATTCCACTCAGGCCAGATGACAAACTTTGGTCGCTTGGAATCTGCCCCTCCTGCTCTGGCTGCGATAGAGGCAGCTCTGAAATTAAGATACAAATAAACTTTAATTAACACACAAAATTTACTGATCACTTTTCAGTTGTCACTTTCCACATAACCTTTCTGCAAAGGACACCCCATCCCAGCCTCTTTTCTGTATGGATCTCAATACTGACCAGAGATTCCACTTTCCTAAAATTAATTCACTCTTATAAACATTTGGAGATCATTTCTTAAGCCATTTAAAGATTATTTTCCTTTCGTTAATACCACCATTGACATTTATTGAAAGAATAATTGACTGTCTATATGCAAGGGAAAGGAAAAAGAACAAATATATTGCATAAAGTACATTCCAGAAACTCGGTCATTAGTTTATATGATTATCAAAAATCCCTTTAAAAAACTAACCCAGTATACATTTCAGATAGACAGATTAAGTTCAGATTTAGACGATACACCTCAGTGTAGTTCTTTGTCAGTGCAAATCACTTTTTATGTTCTGTCTACTCAAACAAGTGCATGGAAATTGCCCAATTATATGACAACAAAACATCACAAAAACAGAAACTTTCAGACCAAAGCCATAAAAGGAAGTACAAATAAACACAAGACTTTAAGATGTCAGAAAAGAAAGGCTCCATTAATTATGTTGGTAGCTCTGATGACAATGTTCGTCGTCTGAGGTTAATAGCCAGTCGGTTTGCTGAGGGTTTAATCAGGGAGAGACAATCCCCTCCCAACTCGTCCACAAACAGTGCGTGTACACGCGCCTCTCCCGTGTCTAATGTTCGTGTTTGTAGTTGAAACACTGAACAATCACAATGCCTGTCAAAGCTTAACAAACAAACATTTTGAAATTTGAAATTGGACTAATAAACAAATCATTGAAATCGCTGATAGCTGGTAATTGTTTATGGCTTGGACAGGTTATATAACCATTATCAACATTAATGATAATTTTTAAAAATGTATTTAATGCAAAATCAACTTTCATGAAAAATTATGTTAATATTTTGTTTCTACTAATTTCAAAAATGTTTAATTTTTCAAACATCATTCGAAAATAAATGTCTCATCATTCTCATCAACATGATAATATGATAATGAAAAGAAATTAATTTCCACATTGTCACCACATAATACAAATGAATCTCAACTGTGCATTGTCCAACATTATGCATTACTGCCGAGATTCTCAACTCAATCAATTATGTATACCTAGCCGGCCATATGTTAAATTTGCTGTGTTTCGTAAATTAATGGATACTACGGAATACTGATTAATATCATTTGAATTTAGCTTGAAAATATCAAACAAACAGTTTGTAGTAAATAAAGTTGCACAATATTCCAACTCCCATAATGAATAGAAAGCCAAGATCTGAGAATTTTAAAATATTTTCACTGTGGATGAATTAGAACGTAAAATAGACCCTGACATGAATAATTTTAGTTGGAGACAAGTCATGACACACAAGGAAGCTGAAACTGTTCACCTATTTCCTCCTCTAATTCAAACAGGTTATCAACCTGTATGAATAGCACATTGTTTCAGGTACCGACACACGGTCACATGAACTTCAAAATAAGTCACCATGAGAAAAAAGAGAAAAAGCAAAAACTGTACCTTGTACCCATCTATCGCCAGATTGCAACAAAGAATTGTCGATTTGTCCTTATCCGTTGTCTACAGTCCGAAAAAGAGACATGTCATGCAACAATAGACATGTTCTGTGCACCACCGGCCTATCCCAACACGACAATGACCGGTGGTTGCACATGGCCGAACTGTTGTCCTTCTCGTCAGCCCATTACTCGCACGACTCACTCCCACTGCCCAAAAGAAGGCCGCTTTTATAGGTGTCTTCGTACAGGTAAGTTTATCAATAATTAATGAGCTCGAGGCTCCCAACCCCACCACTCTTCTGTTCATGAGGTTAAAAATCAATACCAGCCTCACAGTCTGTTTCCTGATCTCGTGAGCGGCTCCAGGGTATTGATTCGACTCCGCAACTAAATGAAGCTGAGATTATTTCAATACACTGCCGTACCTTCATGCAAACCCTTTGTAAATTTGGAGATGAGGGTTTAAAGGGGATTTAAACTGCTATTGAAACGGGGGATCCTGTTGTTAAAAAAGTTAACATAATCCGTTCGGGGAGCGTTTGACTCCTGCATTCCCCTGGGCGGGACAGATGATGAGGCAGTGAGACATCATGTTGCATGTTTTAGGATATTTGAGAACAAAGAGGGTGGTCATTGCCTCAATAATGAGGACTATCTGTGCTAATTAAAACACACCTGTTCGCTTGAAGCTCAGCTGGATGGGAGGAAGTGGGTTTAAGACTGGACTCAGCAGCCAAGTTTCCACTTCTGTTGTTATCTGGCTATCATGAGAAAATGTTCTACGAGGTTCGTTTGACACTAGCTTTAATAGCTCTTTATAAAAAAACTAATTTATGCGAAAAAGTTGTTTTATTAGCTGTGTTGCACTATAAAAGCACTTAATAGATGTAGGTTTTAAAAACGTTTTTATCAATGTATTTTAGGTAACAGTTATCAGTGTGCATAAAAGTATGGCAGTTTTTGCCTCATAATATTCAGAAAAGCAACATTTTTGTGAAATATTTCAAGTGAAGGGATTATACAACAGTGACTCGTTTGATGAATGGTTATATTTAACAAACTTGTATCGGGTAAATTTGACAGACATTTAAAGTTTTTCATTACAATATTTTTGACAATTAACATCTACAGTAAACATGATGACAGCCCCAAAGCTATATAATACATCAATAAAAACTAGAACCATAATAGTATCTGTTTACAGCTACCATAATTTATGTTCTACATTTTGTTTACAACCTGTCTGACACAAATATACCAATAAATAATGATGGGCAGTAGAAATAGGAAGGGAATATTCCAAATTATGTACAACCTATTTAATTCAAAATGTTGAATTCTTATATGTATACAGTTTCATCAAAACTGTACTTAATAAGGCTGTAACGATTCACTCACATATTCGGTGAATCGAAACCGTAGCCTTTCATGAATTCAATTCGTTATTTGTGGTCACCAGAACCGAATATTAACGAATATTTACGATTTTTTTAAGGGAGCGTGTTTTACTTGAACCCTAATGTCCTTTTCCAAAGTGAGATATGCAAGAATGGAACATGTACTAGCATTGCAGTAGTGCAAGTCATGTTAGTTTGCCAAGACTGCACATGGTACTGACGATTATAACTATTACATACCAAATTTGAGTGCCATGAGATCACTGGTTATTGATGTGACAAATCGAACTATCAACATGGGCGTTCCATATTGTACATCAATCACTTAACTACAATATTGTATTCATGAATAATTATTCGTATTCGTTACCCAATATTCATGATACGTATCATATTCACCACATAGTGTATTCGTTGCAGCCCTAGTACTTAAGACAAATGACAAACATAATGATTGATAAAAATCAGAGAAAAATGACTGAGAGTGTGTTTAGTTTTACGCTGCACTCAGCAATATTCCAACTCTATGGTGCAAGTCTGTAAATAATCGAGCCTGGACCAGACAATCCAGTGATCAACAGCATGAGCATCGATCTACGCAATTAGGATATGATGACATGTGTCAACCAAGTCAACGAGCCTGACCACCCGATCCCGTTAGTCGCATCTTACAAGCATGGGTTACTGAAGGCTAATTCTTACCCGGATCAGGGAAAAGAGCAATACAGTGTGACAATCCAGGGTTTTACACAGACTTTTAAAAATGGGAGTCATGGTGACTCACAATATGTATTTTTGGGAGTCGTTTTCAATATTTGGGAGTCATGAAAATTTAATATTTCTTTGTGTCAATCATTCTCAGTATGTAACTGTGTATGTCACACCACCAAATGAAACTACAGCATAGTTCAATTCAAACAGCCAGGATTACTGTCTCCTCTAAGTTCTCTGGAACAATATGACAGCTCTGTAAAAGTCAAACTATCATCGAACAATATCATTTTTTGCTTATCAAATCGATTTTATTGAACTGAATTGTGAGGGCCACCTACAAAACTTGCGTCAAGCTTGACTCGTATGATAGTATTTTGAGAGTCGTTAACACAATTGTTATGTCAAATACGCAGGAATCATGTGTCATGTAAAAGCCTGCAATGGCAAACAGTGACCATTCCTCTGTGGCAATCTCATTGTCACAGAACAAGTTGCTTGCATTACACTTCACAGCGACACCTTACTTGTCTAATACATAAAAATCCCTACACCGTATCAACACAAACAAATAGATACACATTAGGAATGGCAAAATCTGTAGTTTCAGCTGAGTCCTGCAGTTATCAAAATCTAAGTCACTGACATTGCCAAAAATTGCATTACCAAACAAGAAAAAATTTGTGTCCAGGGACACGAATGGCCCCCGCTGCTGTAGGAAGAGTTCACACATTCAGGGTCCCACTGAAGTTTTTGAAAACACTAAAAACAATGTGTTGAGGGGTTAGATAACACAACCTATTATCATATAAAGATCAATAATTGAACAAAATTCATGAACATGTTCAATAAACATCTATGCAACTATGAGATGCACACCTTTCGAGTCCCAATGAAACACACGTATAAGCTTAATCAATTCTGTTGAGCAGTTTTTGTGGAGAAGTGGATAGACTTAATCCCCTATTTCTCTATCATCAGAGAGAAATTCAACAAAATTTATCTAAGTTCAAATGTCTCTAAACATACAAAAAAAATATAACATACAAAAACAAAATATGAGATGCACACCTTTAGAGTCTCTATAAAAGACATGTGTAAGCTAAATGAGTTTTGTGCAATGGTTTTTGAGGAGATGTGGATAAGTACACCCCCTGTTGTATGGGACGAACAGGATGAATAAAACCAATTTCAACTAAGTTCAAACATCTGTAAAAGTGACAAAATTAAGAAATTGCATAAAAAATTATGAAATTATGGACTTTAGAGTCCCTATGAAAGACATGTAGAAGTTCATTCAATT